CCCAAAAAAAAATTTAAAAAAATAAAATGAAGGCTTTAATGCCACTTTATGGTAACAAGCACTGCTATAGGTAAAGCTACAGTAGCCAGCTATACTCGCTGACCACTTGTACAGGAGTGATAATTACAATTGCCTTTTTTTTTGGTCAGATTTGCCAGTCATCATATATGATCACATCTGTTGCAGATCAAAGCTAATTGTCACAGGTGACTAGATCTGCAGACAGTTTAATAATCTGTGCTAATGGATTTTTGTTCAGTTCAAATACATTTTGCATTCCCTCACAAGCCTATGAAAAATTTGCTAGAAGTGGGTCAATTGCAGGTCAGAAGGAGGTAAACTGCCTATCAAAGGCACCCATCACTGAATTCTGAATGATCTCAGAAGCAATTAATGCTGCTTTCAGTGAAAGTGAACTAACATTGTGCTGCTATCTGAGGGGATTATTGCGTGGGAAATTTATCAAAACCGGAGCAGACAAAATCTGTGGCAGTTGCCTATGGCAACCAATCAGCTTATTGTGTCAGTCTGTTCAGTTAAGCTTTGAAAATGAAAGGTGGATGCTGATTGGTTGCCATGCACAGCTGCTCCAGATTTTGGCTGCTCCAGTTTTGATAAATTCCCCTCTGTATGATTTTACTTTCCTATCCTGCTTCCCTAGTAATCATTTCATTTAGGCTCAATTTAACTTCGTTGTGTCCTATCCTCTGTCAAAATGTGCTTGATTACTTATTACATTTGTAATTCTTTTTGTTTTTCTTTAGGATGTTTTAGTTAACTGCAGACGTGCTGCTACCTCAATAGCCATTTGCCCTTCAGCTCCATTTTACCTTGCAGTTGGATGCTCCGATAGTTCAGTGAGAATCTATGATCGCCGAAGTCTAGGAACAGGAGCTGCAAGTATGTTTCAGTATAGGTGCTATTTTAAATTACATTTTTTTTTAATATACTACAAGTAATCCATTAAAAATATATTGAAATATCTTTTCACCTGCTAATATGAGATTCTCTTTTTGTCTGCAATGCTGATGGGCGATATTAAAATGAAAGCAGACCTTTACACTAAAAGGCAAGGTTCACTTATTACATTGTAAAATCACTGAATGAATGCTGTTAAAAATAGAAAATGAAAAAAAAAAACTTGCCTTAACCCAGCTTCTGCTCACGGCGCTTAGGTGATTGTGGCATCCTAAACCTTTCAGCGAGATTTTAGGAACAGTGAGTACTAGGGATGCACCGATACCGATATTTTGGTTACGAGTACCGATATTATTATTTTTCCAGCTACTCGCCGATGCCAAATACCGAGTATCGGAAGTCCCATTCAGGAAGCCAGGCGACGTGTAATGACTCGCCACCTGGCTTCCTGATTAGCCGGGAAGCCGGGCAGCGTGTAAAGACTCGCCACCCGGCTTCCCGATTTAACAAGGAAGCCGTCCCATGCTTCTCGTCACTATGTGACGAGAAAGCATGGAGCTGGCTTGCTGGCCAATCATGGAAGCCGGGCGCCGTGTAATGACGCGTCGCCCTCCTCCCTGATTGGCCGGGAAGCCGGCTCCATGCTCCCTCGTCATGAGGAGGGAGCCGGCTACTCGGCAAATCAGAAAGCCGGGCGCTGCGTCATTACACGCTGCCCGGCTTCCTGATTGGCCGGGAAGTCGGCTCCATGCTCTCTCGTCACAAGTGACGAGAGAGCATGGCGTCCTGATACCCGGCCGGCGTCCTGATACAGGAAGTATCGGGCTAGGCATCGGAGCATTTGGGCGAGTAAGAGTACTCGCCCAAATACTCGGTATCGGCACCGATACTAGTATCGGTTATACACTGCACTGATACTAGTATCAATATCTGTGCCGATACCAAGTAATGCTCCAATGCTTAGCCCGATACTTCTGATACTGTATCAGGAAGCCGGGCAGCGCGTCATTACACGCTGCCCGGTTTCCTGATTGGCCGGGAAGCGGCCAGATGCTCTCTTGTCACTTGTGATGAGAGAGCATGGTGCCGACTTCCCAACCAATCAGGAAGCCGGGCAGCATGTAATGATGCGCTGCCCGGCTTCCTGATTAGTCAGGAAGCTGGGCAATCAGGAAGCCGGGCGCCGTGTAATTACGCAGCGCCTGGCATTCTGATGAGATGACGAGGGAGCATGAAGCCGGCCTCCCAGCCAATCGGAAAGCAGGGCGTCGTGTCATTACACTGCGCCCGGCTTCCTAATTTGACGGCCAGACGGCTCCAGCTGGGTACCAGAGGAAGGCCGCGTTCTGGCTGGAGAGGCCCCGGGGGTGACAGGCTGGACATACCAAGGTAAGAGAGGACAGACTTTCTTGTTAATCAGGAAGCCAGGTGGCGAGTCATTACACGCCACCTGGCTTCCTGAATTGGACATCTGTTACTCGGTAATTGGTATCGGCGAGTACCGGAAAAAAATTATCGGTACTCGTACTCGGTACCAAAGTACCGGTATCGGTGCATCCCTAGTGAGTACACAAATCTCATGAGTTTTAAGATCCTCTGCATTCCCAGGATCTTGCCAGAAGGATTGTGGTGTCACCATCTAGTGTGGAGTCTGGGGGTAAGGTGAGTAGATTTTTACAGGATTAATGCAGTGATTTAGCCACCACTCAAACCTCACTCCTGTGATGGACTACAATCTCAATACGAATAACATGAGATTGTTGTCCATCACGGGAGTGAGCTTGGAGCGGTGGCTACTTTACAACACACACAGGGACCATGGGGAACCAATGTAGTCACCCTCCAGAAGGAAGAACAGTGTGGGCACCATCAGAGATGATTTGAGGATCTACAAGTTAGTGGTACACAAATAAGCTGCATTTTTGTTAATAGTTAAGGTACTCAAATGCATTTTTAAGATTTAACTCCTAAGTTTAGTGTCACTTTTAGGAAACTCTATACTGGCACAAGGATACTTTAGGCGTGATGTCAAACATTCTATTTTTACATACATTTTCAGATCATAGTCCCACAGTCGGCTATGTTTAATAAGTTAAAATTTTGCAAAATAACGTTTACTCCCTAAGCACTTGATACTATGAACAGTAGAGTGTCATTTTTGTCATGAAAAATAAAACTGTAATATATTGCAGCATACCAGTCTATTAGATGTGGTAGCTGCATTTGTTTTCTTTTTAATGCTCTTTTGCTTACTTTTTACCTGGTTAACCTGCCAAGAACACACTTCCTGTCATAGGTTGACAGTGCTCATTGCTACTGTATTTTTGTAGAAGCAGCGTTGTCACCCTAGGCTGTTCTTCTGAAATGGACTATAAACACCTACATGTCATTCTGTTACATACAGGGGAGTTGCTTTCTACTTTACATAAGATAGCTGAGAAAGCTGTTTGTTTGTTTGAGACTTCAGTTCAATCCAAAGGAAGTTACACAGACACAATGCTTTTGACAGAATCGCCAGGATTTTTCTCTACTTGCATAAAATGTACTTGGAATGAAAAAAAGAAAAATAATGCAGCTGGTAAGCTGTAAAATATTAGATTTTTGTTCTTGGGCTTAGATATACTTGAACTGTTCTAAAGCTGACCATTGACAGTAGAGGTTAGTTAGATGGTATGCTTGCAAAAGCTGCTGTTTAAAATGTTTTATTGATAATGCCTTTTCTTTTCTGATAGGCAATTATTCAAATCGTGGAACTACAGGAATGTGTGTACGGTTTGTCCCCTCACACCTTGTAAACAAATCCTGCCGTGTTACCTCTTTGTGCTACAGTGAAGATGGGCAAGAACTCCTTGTGAGCTACTCATCAGACTATATATATTTGTTTGACCCAAAAGATGACCAAGCAAAAGAGCTCAAGTTTTCTTCAACTAATCAAAGGCAAGACGAAGTAAGAATCTGATTAAATGATAATAGCTTGTTGTGAAGTCTGTAGGTGTCTTTAGTATTTTAACTGTCAAGTGTCTCATTCACATTCAGGTTTCCTATACCCCAGGATCAGGTTTTATTGTGAATAATCTTTGCAAAAGTTGTTACTGTTCCTATGACTGTCACACAATTCAGCATATGTAATGTCCAATAACAAGCTAAGGCATTGGGTGTGCTGGGGTGCTACCATAGAGCAAGTGAACTGCTGCCCATACAGCTGTATGCGAGTTCAAAGCTGAAGATGTGCTAGTGTGGGATTCCCTGCCATCTCGGTACTTCTCGACAAGTGTAGTAAAGTTTTTAGTCATCTTGATGCCTTGTGCTTGTCTCAACAAAGTTGCTGTGTTTTTATACTCCATGCATCCATCAGAGACAGACGAGTGATAAATACACTTTCTAAAGTTGACTGGCTCACTGTGATTCGCAGACCAAACACTGCAATGAAGTTGCTTATTCACTGCGTTCTTCCCCTGAACTTACTCAAGTAAATGAGTTTTGCTTGGGTTCTCCTCTTGGCCCGACTTTGTTTCCCTCTTCCCAATGCTCTCCTCCCATCACCCCCTATAGCCGGGTATACACGTGTCGAATTTCATCTGGCTCCTGTTGAACTGGATGAAATTCACACCATGGATGCCACTGTCGTCACCCTTCTACCCAGCATCCCTCGATCCCCTGAACAAAGGAGCCGGTTGGAAAATTCTTGGCCGAACAGAGCTAGCAGCCAATCAGCAGGGGATTCGTCCACATCAGCGCTCGTAAGCGGTGGTCTGCATGTAATCATACACGGTACGATTGTCCCTGCTGCCAGGGACAATTATCGATCCCTAACTGCATGTAATTGTATGCAGACTGCAGCTGACAGATGTGGCTGTTGTCACCCTGTCATTAACTTGAACAGGAATAACGGCCTCATCTGAACGGAGACAACTGGAATTCCTGCCTCAAGACTCCATAGGTTCTTGCGGCAGGAATCCCAGAATGTAGAATAACTCTGTGTGAATGGGGCCCTGAAGTTCTAAAAGGTACAAGGCGGGTCTGAATCAGCTGATTATGGGAACTACACCCAGGCAGGTGACATCTTGGCCTCTGTTTCGATTGCAGTTGCCATCCTCTGTTTCACAGTTTGAGAGCTCAAATCGGCACACTGGCAATTTTGATAGTTGGCATGCCTTTAGAGTAACTGTTTTGGGAGATGTTAAATTGGTGGGTCTAGTTCCACTTTAAGGGGAGCATTAGCTTGTGCCTAAACTATGATACTCCTTATGACAAATATTATGAGACCAGTAACACGGCTACCGTTGGTTTTGACATGACTTTGTTAAATCTGTTAAGCATGAGACACAGTTGTTGCAGGTGGTCTGGTCTGCCATTGCATGAGAACTGCTCTGATGTTTTTGCTCTTTTACTCCAAAACTGGGCCACTGGCAATCTATTCTTTACTTTTTGCAAGTTGTAAGAAATGTACAATTTTTTTTCTTCATGCACTATTGTAGTGATGTGATTATCGATGTTGAATTCACTTTTTCTTTCTATATGAAGGTTCGACAACCACCTCTTAAACGTCTTAGGTTACGAGGCGATTGGTCAGATACAGGGCCAAGATCGAGGCCAGAAAGTGAACGAGAAAGAGATGGTATAACATTTATTACATATTTGGGTTCCACTTTTCATTGATTTTGTTACAATTTTTAAACCTTAATGAATTATTTGTTGCGCTAACTTTGAACAGCATGTTTGTTAGGTGTCTAGAATTGGGTATACAGTCACGGGACTGTTTCTATCACTTAGAATGATGCCACCTAAAATGTAATGATTTTTTGTGGAAGTAAATGTCACTTATTTTCTAGGTGACAATGCCACCAACGCGTCACTCATGCAAAGAATGTCTGATATGCTTTCAAGATGGTTTGAAGAAGCAAGTGAGGTTGCTCAAAGCAACAGGAGAAGAGGAAGGCCTCCAAATAGAGGTGCATTCTTTTGTATTTCCATTAACCTTCTAAATAAGCTATTAAATGGTATCTAGAATCATTTGGGGTCTATTTTATCTCTTTTAAGTTTTACAGTGTAAAACTGATGTTTTATGTCTTTTTTTTTTTTCATGGTTATCAGTTGGTAAGCTCTCACGGGCAGGGCCCTCCTTACCATCGTGTCTTGAATTGTTTTGTAATTGTAATGTCTTCCCTATATTCTAAAGCGCTGCGCAAACTGTTGGCGCTATATAAATCCTGTATAATAATAAAAATAATATACTCAATCTTTGTCTTACAAATAGACATTTAATACATGACAATGTCTGCAAATCAATACAGTACAATAAAAAAATGTAATGTACAAAACCACTATACATTCCTTTTTAAAGAATTAAAAAATCAGTTCAGGTAGTCGGATAAATGTCTGGTCCCCAAAAACAAAATTTGCGCCAGACAGTTTCAGTTCATTAACTTATTTTTGACAAGTGCTTGTAATTGAGAAATGCCAAATAAAATAGCTTAAAGAAAGTCAGCACAATCCTGCTCTTAATCTTCCAGACCATACAATGTTTTCTTAGAAGATATAGATAGTTGTGTCTATTTTTTACTTTGTTGTTAAGAGCATGTTGCCATCTTTGAGAAGGTTTCGTAGTGTACATAAATGAACCTACATTCGTTAGTGTAAGAGGTTCTTCAGTTGCTGCATATTCAGTGTATAAGGCTTCATCGCTCTCCATAGCACGCTGTAGAAAAGGCGCTGAGAGATGGTGTAGTATTCAATTCTCACAGTTTTAGCATGTGCATAAATAATCAATTATTATTATAGGTATTTATATAGCGCTGACAATTTACGCAGTTCTTTTACATAGTGGACATTCACATCAGTCCCTGCCCTCAAGGATGTGTCCTATCTCACATGCATACAGGGACAATTTAGATAGGAGCCAATTAACGTTCCATGTCTTTGGAGAGTGGGAGGAAACTGGAGTACCCAAACCCACGCAAGCATAGGGAGAACATGCAAACTCCTTGCAGATAGTTTCCTGACCGGGATTTGAACCGGGGAGTGCTGCAAGGCAGAAGTGCTAACCACAACGCCACTGTGCTGCCATCAGGGAAGAGATTTGCCTAGTAGTACAGCCTAACTATGACTGTGGAGGAGGGCAGATGTATAACTAGGCTGTGCTTTCCATAGTGCAAGATCAGTTTAGGGAGGAGAGCTCCGCCTTCTGTAAGATGACAGCTGTCACCACCTGCTCGGGTTCCTGACTGCTGTCACCGCTGCTCGGCCTCCTGAAATTTTCTCTCCTCCCCGCTGGGCGTGGGCTGCAGCATCAGAAGGCACACAGACTGGCGCCCAGCGGGGAGGAGAGAAGCTAGGGATACACTGAATTTTCGGCATGGCACTTCTGGGAGTTTGCCAAAAGCATCAATTTCGACCGAAATGTTTTGGCAGACGAAATTTCGGTGCATCCCTAGAACCTGGCAGTGCTTTAAGCTGGTCACCTTTTAATGTCCCTAAGGACTCCATTTTCACAATGACTAGGAAGTGTAAATGATGCAGCTGCTCCTGGGCCTGAAAGCATTGGTGACCATGTAGAACTGCTCCATCCCCAGCTTACCAACTGTGTACACATATGTACCTACCTCACAAAATAAATGAGCATTTTTCCTCTGTCATATCATTTTAATTTTTCACGTGTTAAACATTAGAGCTTTGTTGCTTAACAGGAATATTATAGTTTCGCATGGCACCTGAGAAGCCACTGATTTAAATTTTGAACGTGAACATTATGGATTTTACTTCAGCCCTTTTCAGCCACGTTAATTATTAATTTTACATGATTTGTGAATGTTGTATATGAACAAAAGTCAACTTAATATTTAAGATGAAAGGCGTGAAAATATATTTTTCATTAGTGGGCTTACTTCCCACCAGGTGGCATCTGCATTGATGGTTGCTTTAATTGGCTTCCAGCTGGAATGGTGTATTTGATGTATCTACCACACTTGTAAATACACAAAGTGCGAGCTCTGTCAGCAGTAGAATTGAATTATGTGTATGACTAATTTTTTTCTGTAAAGCACTACAAAGAAAGTTCTGCAATAACGGAATAACAACAAGAGAGAAGAATTAATAGTATGGAAATTTTCATGCACAGTAGTCATTTGTTGCGTTATGTAAGAATGCAATTGCAACTACATTAGTCTGTCGCACATCTCCTTTCAGTGAATATAAATGAAAGCTTCTCTCACAATCAGGGGAAGTAACTCCACTATGTGCCAAAGGGGAGGGGGACTTAACTAGTTGTGTCCCTGCAACTCAAAGTGACAAATTAGTGAAAAATACTTATTTTTTTGTCTTGCTTTGATTATTTTTAAGCTGTCAAAGGTAGTGATGAAAAAATAAAGCTTTTTAAAGGGGGAAATGTATACTTTTTAGAAAGTGGTACCACAATTTCTATATTCTGCAACCCCACCATCTGTAGTTTGTAGCTTTTGCAAATGATCTATTTTCTTTATGCACAACACTATCTAGTGGCTAAAGAGAACATTCATGGTTGCATGGAGATGTCATCTATTTTTGTACAAGTCAGAGGTGCAGAGTTGGAAGGGAGGCCACACAGGCATGCTGTGTGTTTGATATTTTTTCTGCATGCCAGGCACCTTTGCAGCCACGTAGCCCCCAAAAACAGTAAGTACTTTCACACAGTGGAAGTAGTCCTTGCTCTGAAACCGCAGTGGAATTTTATTTGGACAGTTTAGATGTGTATATATAATGTATATGTATATAATGCAAATTCATTGTTTAATAGTGTGTTCAGAGATTTATTTAGATTTCTTACTAAAATACAGGGGAGCCACAACCAGACACATCAGCTTCAACCACTTCTAACCCGACAGAATCCCAGGCTGCGGAAGCTGAAGTGAGTTCAGAGACACCTTCTGATCAGAATGCACCTTCTAATACAGATGTTGGAGAAAGCCATACCTTGTCATCCCCGGATGAGGCAGCCCATCAGCAGAGTGCTTCTACATCAGAGAGTTCTATGTTACCTATAGGTAAGAACATTTTAACATTTTAACAATACCATTCAAAAAATGATAGCATGCATTGGCTGATAAACACCAAATATTCATCAATGATTTTGCTTCTCCTAGGTCTTTAGTGCTGTGGTGTATAATTAGACAATCTGTCACTGATACTAGTTCAGACTAGATTTACTCAATGAATATTAAGCAGCCATGTAACACATCTACCTTGATAAATGCATAGCACCATGTGTGACTTCTGTCTGACTCCCGATGTCCAGTAATCAGCCGTGGGAAATCACTGGCTATTACTAACGACACAATTCAACTCATGATGTTGACTAGCTCCTTCATGCTAGCTACATCCTTTGATTGCAAAGTCTGACTGGAAACTGCTTGAACATGATACCTCTCTAGGGGGACTGAGTAACACTATGAGTTGCATCATGTTGGTCTTAATAGCCGTCACTTTCCAGTACTGATTGCTAAACAACCAGAGCGTGGACAGAAGACCAATGTGGTGCCAAGGTACATGTGTTTTATATAGCTGTTTAACCACTTCAGTATTTTGGACGTATGTCCTAGGTTCTGTCCTGTGCACCAGCACACTATTAGGGCCCATTCACACCAGTGGGTGCGTGTTAAAGTGCGCACTGGTGTGCGTTGTGCACATATGTTGCAGTGTGCTGTTACAGTGTATCAGTGCTTGATTTTTAAGTTTTTAACATTTTAAAAAATTACATTAATTCAACTCTAAGAGCGTCCGCATGTTGCAATGTGCTTCCCTGCATTGTAACGCACTGTGTGGAGATTAAATCTATGCCTAATCACAACACATACCAACACAGTGCACACATGGCACTCCAAATCAGGCGTTCCAAAAAAAGTAACTTCCATAGCCCAATATCACCTCTACTTCACAGCAGCACCAGAGATAATGGCGGATGCACACTGGCTGAGCCTATCTTGCTCCAGCATCAGCAGTTACTCACAGAAAAAAGTCCGGTTGCACACTGAAAGCTTCACTGAAAAGTTTATTGTAGCACACAGGTATCCATCATCTTGCTGTGGATCCTCTTGGTCATAGAGAATTAAAGATCTCTATGACTAAGCCCATTATTGGGTGAAAAGGATCCACGATGGAAGGATGTGTACCTGGGTGCTACAATACATTTTTTAGCGAAGCTTGCAGTGTGCGACTTGACTTCTTTCTGTGAGTAGTTACAAGAAAGGTGTTAAAAACTCCAGATTTATAGCATGCATTGCTTGCTTACAGTTTTGCATACCTTCGAATTTACCATTTTGCAGAAAAGCATAATTTAAATTTTACAAATATTTAATAACGCAGTGCAGTTTTATCTTTTAGATTTAGTAGTAAGTTATGTTTATGTGCACTGATAATGATTTTGGTGTAGTTTCAGCTAAGATTTTGCAACTATTATGGGACCTACAAAATCAGTAGGACCATCTTTTTGTTCTATTGGCCCCTGTGTTTTCAGAAAATATATGGCTTGTGGGGTCTTTTACAAACTCTGAAATCTGTAAGTGAAGAATAGTCTGGCCAGCTGAGGTTAAATGTGGAGCTCAGGACCCGACAGTAAAAGGGTAAATGTGCCTAAAAACATAAGATGGTGTTTGGATGATCTAGCAGCTGAACAATTGTTCAGAGAAATGATACTCTGCATAAATGTGTGCACTTGTGTGAGTTCAGTGTGCATGTTTATTTAGCTTGTAGATACTACAGAGTGTGGACTTTATCTCATCAGTGCATCCGTGGTTGACTGGAAGATTTTAACCCTGCAATTTGACTACACCCCCAACCCCCCCACTGCCGAGATTGGTTGGTCAGGTTGCAGTCAAGATGCAGTCATGTGATACCCATAGATGTGCATTCATTTCTTGATGAAATTGGATCTTCTGAAGCCTCTGTGGCCATTGAAAGGAGCTGTGTTTATCTTTATTCTTCTACACGCATGGATAGCTTACCGCACACTGTCTTACAGGTGGCAAATTCTGATTTATTTTGCAAGAACTGCTATGAACCAGGGCTGGGCAAATATCAGGAACTAGGTAGCCATGTTCCTTAAAATTTACAGCTGATGCCTGACTTTTGAGGTTTCCTCTAGTTTTTGTCAAGGAAGCTGGCTCCTGGATGAGACAGACTGGCTCCAGGATTCCATATTAATTTGTCCATCCCTGCTAAAAATGAAATAATAAACCACTAAATTCCTATTGTTCTCACTACTTTTATTGTATTATTGAATATGTTTTACAGTCACTTTAATTTTGGTTTCATTTTTATTGTGGGCTCTATTTCCAGCACACATATATATGAGAAGCAGCTGCAAACAGTAGGAAGTGACCTTAGCAGCAGTTTAGTTCTCTCCTTTTGACTATAGGCTACCGTATTGTTTCTTCATTGTGTTCTTACAAAGCTGTCCCTGATCCCTGTGCTTTCTGCCTGCCAATGTGGGCTTAAAAAATAAAACCAAAGGATTTGTGTCACAGCGTGACAGAACTTCTTTGTGTAATGATAGGAACATTTCATCAAATTTTAGTTCATTAGTGTATTTTACTTTGGGAATGTCTAGTAAAGTTGGAAGGATGCCCTTCGATATTAAAAATTAGACTCTTTTGAATACATATACTGTATCTTCAGTGTGCAGACTAATGTGAATGAGTGCTTTTAATTGCTTCATCTGGCAATATAGGAACCAAATTGCTTCAGCTACAACAAATATGTATTACTGTGTAAGTAGCAAGCATGCTGTAAGATGGGCAAGCTGATGGATTATGTGACTGAAAAAAGGAAATTGTGAAGCATCTTAGCAGAGGGTTTTTCGCATTCATGAGGAATGCCATGGTGTGCATATTGACAGGCTTTGGGCTTGTGTCAATGGGTAAATGCAGCTTAACTTTGACATTAGTTTCTGAACCTTCAAGATCCTTCAAAATTTATATATCGTGCATTTGACCTGTGGTTGGGCTCCCTACTGACTGATTTTTGACCTGTTTTAGCAGCTTTTTCATTCTCATAGTATGGGTGGAGGATCAGTTCTGATGCAAACAAAAGCCAATTGGCACAGTGGTAAGCTGTACTATACAGGGATTTTTATCATAATGCCACTGAGTAGACATATATAAAAAAACGCCTTTCTTCTTTCTACTCACAGGAGCCCATCAATAGCATATCAAGCCCACTGCTGCTCCTGACTACAGGATCGTATTGGTAGTGTAATTGGGGGAAGGGTCAGGGGTGGAACTACCGGCAGTGCAGCCGGTGCCGCCACCCCTGGGCCCAGGGCTGTGGGGGCCCACTGAGTGGTGGTGAGGGGGCGTCGGGCAGTTACAAGCAGGCCAGGCGGCGAACATAATATAGGCAGCTAATAGTGAAGCCCAGGGGCCTCGGGCATGAGGACTCAGCGAGCGGCTGCTGTCTGACATTGCAGAGGGAGACCCACGACACGTCTGATTGCTCGTTGAGTTTATTTTCCTTTTTACAGCCTCTCCTCCCTCCACATGCTTCCTCCGGCTGTGTGAATTGACACCAGCCAGGAGGACGTTATCAGACAGTTTAGTAGAGGTGACTTCCCGTGTTGGAACATGGAATAGAACAAAGCTGTACGAGAAAGTTTCAAGTACAACTATGTTCTGTTCTGTGTTCTAATACATCCCATCACAAGCATATCACACCCTGCTTCATCCACATCTGCCCCCCTGCTCCATCTACATCTGCCCCCCTGCGCCATCTACATCTGCCCCCCTGCGCCATCTACATCTGCCCCCCTGCGCCATCTACATCTGCCCCCCTGCGCCATCTACATCTGCCCCCCTGCGCCATCTACATCTGCCCCCCTGCGCCATCTACATCTGCCCCCCTGCGCCATCTACATCTGCCCCCCTGCGCCATCTACATCTGCCCCCCTGCGCCATCTACATCTGCCCCCCTGCGCCATCTACATCTGCCCCCCTGCGCCATCTACATCTGCCCCCCTGCGCCATCTACATCTGCCCCCCTGCGCCATCTACATCTGCCCCCCTGCGCCATCTACATCTGCCCCCCTGCGCCATCTACATCTGCCCCCCTGCGCCATCTACATCTGCCCCCCTTTTCCATCCACATCTGCCCCCCTGCTTCGTCCTTCTCATGTGCCCCCCTGCTCCGTCCTCCACATCTGCCCCTGCTCCGTCCTCCACATCTGGCCCGAGAAAAAAATCTTGCACCAGGGCCCTTTGTTCCTTAGGTCCAACACTGGACCGGGTATAGGAAATGCACAGCTGCTCCTGATTTTGCCTGCTCCAGTATTTGTAAATTCCTCTTACAGTATTTGTTTGGGACTGAAATGTGTCGCCTCTGCCCAGTTTTCTTTTGCTTAACTACTGAATTGTCCCATCTTTGCAGTATAGGGGCTAGATGTTTTGTAGTCCAGTATAATAACTGGGATGGTTAATTAGACTCATTGAGAGCCAGGAAGTGTGCTCAGGATACAGGACAGCATTTGATTTCTGATGTGACCAAAAGTTATTTTTTTTTCACCTTTTAAATGGGTATAACAAAACTATTTTAATTGTATATATAACAGACCAAAAAGCAGCAAATAAGAGGTGTTTTATTGTTTGCATACATTAAGTGCTACGTTATTCACAACTCGCTTGTTTCACACTTTTAAATGACAAGGTTGCTTGAGTCTAGGTCTGCTTGAAATAGTTAGAGCCTGCCATGCTGATCCATGCAGTACATTATGCATTATTGACCTGAAACAATTATGTAAGCAGTATAGACTTAATTTTTCTCTTCACAAGGCTGCATGCTTTTTCAGACCAGAGAATTGCACAGTGCCGAAGCCGAAGATAGCTAGAGAGCTAGTACTTTATTTTCATATGAGGATAGCAAAGGTTTCCTTAAGAACAGGTTTCCTTTAAACCCTTGTCATCACCACATTTGCAGCATATTCATATTGGTAGATGTCAAGGGGTTCTAATGCTCAGCAATGTTTGTCGTAGATCAGTAGGTATTTACCCAAGATAAG